ATTGGCTATTTATTTAGTCATTCAGTTATAAGATTTATAATTCACAGCAAAAGACAAAAACTTAGGAGAATGCTTAACGATTGAATCTGTAGGGATTCTGAAACTTGACAATCACAAGCAAAAATAGATTTAGAATTGGATAAAATGAAAGAACACTAACAATCATTTGCTAAGAAATTTGATTCCGCTTGCAAGGGACCAAGTTGAAGAGAGAAAACTTTTAATTTCAGAAAGAGAAAACTTTTAATTTCAGAAAGGGGTCAGGGAGTGAGAGACGATAAATGTGTCTAGAAATTAAAAAGATAGAGAGGGTTGACTCAGTTTCACAGAATGAAAAGTGATGTGACACGCCGAGCTCAATCTAATTTTAACGGCATTGATTTTGGAATGAGAAATTACAGTTTTTTTAAGAACAAGAATAAAAGTGTCCAAAGTTTAAAAGAGAGACTAAATATAAAATCTTATGATAATTGAGGGATTAAAAACATATTTAACCCTATTTTTTACAACATCAAAATAAGTATATATAAGTATATTTTAGAGGTACAGAGGGTAACTAAAAAAGCTCAACAAAAAATGCAAATCTATTGTCTCTCTGAATTTGCACTACAATACAAATTGACAACCTCATTAGGATATCATGCGAGTGGAATAATCCAACATTAAAATATCTTATACAAAGGTAGCAGTCGATAAACTCGCGAAAATGAGATAAAAGATAACATAAAACCTCAGCTTTATGTTTAGTACATTCCAAAAATAAACAGAATTGGATGTGATATTAGAAAGTGATAGATTTGCACTCCGCTTTCATCAAAAGTGAAAAAAAATAAACTCCATTATGTTTTGTCTGGCTAGTGCCCTTTCTCTATATTAGTTATTAACAAAATATAATACAAAGAAATTTTAGAGGAAACTATATACTGCTTTGCCTTTTCAACACAAGCACAAACCTATGTTATTCTCTCATTCTTTATGAACTATTGATTCCTTAGTGACTCACTTTCAGATATTAGATCGATTGTCGTAGGTGAACCTGTTGCAGAAGTAGCTGTAGAAATTGAATTAGTGGGTGTGTGCTGTCCTTGAACCTCTTGAGAAGGTTGCATCAGATTTGTATCAGAAGCCTTCTCCTTTGAAGCATTCATGTTAACTTTTATCCTGNGCAACCCAACCCAAGAATTAAAAGGTGAAGACGCGAAGCCCGGTAAACGACACAAGGGGTCAGACTGCAACACTGAGTCTGACTAGTACAATACACCAAACCCTACCCCACTTCCCATCTTCACACGCACCCTAACCCTAACCATTTGGTCCACGCCATTAACCATGGTTACTTACTGCTCCATTCCACGGGTTAGTCTACGAACACCCTTCTACTCGCTCAGTCAAACACCATCACCACCACCCTTTTTTAAACCTCACTCTCTCTTCTAGATACCTACACGTGAGATTCTTTATTATTAATTGCAGAAAATAATTGTATGTGTGTTATGGGAACGGCACAAGATTGGACAAACAAAAAGAGAGAAGACGAATTAAACTGCTTCGGTTTTTCTGATTTGGTTATTAACTTTTTCATTTCACCATAAAGTTCAGAAGCGTGTTTGGTTGTTTTAATAATAATGTTTCCGGAATTTGGATTATGGTCAAGATGTACCGGTCTACTTGCTTTTGACGTATTGAGATAGAATTTGCATTAGTAAGGAGGAGGAATCAGAAGATTTTAGTGTTGTTGTATAATATTGAAGTGTTTTTTAATGTTGTTGTGTTCCATTAGGTTTACTGATCTATGAAAAACGATGATCTAGAAAATTGTCAGATATTATTATTGGAGACAGAGTTGTTGGGGTGGTTGCTATTATTTGATAGGGAAGTGTTTATGGGGAAAAAGAAACGACAAAAGACAAAGGAACTTTCGGTAGCGATAGCCGAGGCTTCATCCAGAGAAGGTGACACGGAGCATCATCATCAACAACAACAGCAACCTCAGACTCCACGAAAAAGAGGGAGACCTCGTAAGGTTGTTGTTGTGGAAACGGAAAGCGAGGGGAAAAAAGTGGAACCAGAAGCTTCTGCAACATCCGAGAAAGAAAAAGAAGAAGAAGAAGAAGAAGATGAACAGCATGTAAAGCTACAAGAGGAGTTAACATCAGCATCGGCAACAACATGCACGATGATAGTTACAAAGGAAGGGATTCAACTCCCAAAAGGGGAACCCTCGAGAAGCAAAAGGGGCAGACGCAAAAGCAAACCCCGAAAAAGCACTTGAAAATTATTACCTTTTCTTTATAATTTTTCACGCAAGCTTTCAAAGAACTTTTTCTTCAGATTCTAAGGCTTATCTAAACCCGAGTGTTAAGATTATATATAGTCCAGGAGAACTTGAATGCAGTGTTTCATTCCCAGAACTTGTTTTTTATGTGTGATTGCTATAATAGTTTATAGCGATCAATTTAAATATAGCTCTTGGATTTAAATTTACTTGGTTTGTTACTAAATATGTTGTCTCTCAACAGTACAAATATTGCTTCATTGTTTGTTTTTCTCTTCCCCTACAATTCTTAGCTGTTGTTCAGTTGTTTTTGTCATTGGTTTTTATGTCTAGGCTTTTCTTGTTATTGTGCCAGATCATATCAATATGATATGGGCTGAATAGATTTACATCCTTTTTCTATATAATGCTTTCTCCCATTTGTCATATATATATATATATATATATATATATATATATATATATATATATATATATATATATATATATATATATATATATATATATATATATATATATAAACTTCAGAATTATTTTAACTAACTAGTAATATATTTATATTTTTAATTTGCTGAGCATATCTTAAAAATTAATGTGATAGGAACATTACAACATGCATACGGATTTTAGAATTTAAAGTAGAACATGATTCTAACATGATATTTTTAATAATATTATATTGTAAAATTTGTAACAATAAATACCCACATAATACATTTTTAATACGAATAACATACAATATAAACATTAAAATTAATAAAAAAATCATTGAAAGAAAATAGAATTTAAAAAGACGAAAAAAATGATAAAGAGTAGAAATAATCATAAATATAAGCATAAAAAAATTATAAAAGAAGAAAATAGTTATAAAAAGTAGAACAAAACAAATTTAAAAGCAGACAAAAGCACATAATTCTTTCACAGTAGCGTAGAGTCATGATTTAAGTATAGAAAAGCTTTTGTAGATGTTTAAACGACTTAAGACTACAAGTTGTCTAATTTTTAGAGAAAAAGACTATGCCAACTTCCAACCCTAGAAAACTACCCACCTATTCGCTTTTCTAACTTAGTAACATTAAAGTGTTTGGGATGTTGATTTGACTATGATAACTTCTTCTTGTTTCATGTTCCAATAGTTTATTGTCGTGACTTTTTCTACCAATTGTATTGTTTTTTGAAAAAAGAAATATTTTATAAAAAAAAACATTTTGACATATAATTTACGTTTATTTGATTTTTTTTTACTCTTTTTGTTTTTAAAAAAGCATAATTTTTTTATAATTATTTTATTTTATATTGTATGTGAAATGAATATAAAAGTATGTGATAATTCTATTACTTTATTATCTATACCAAAACTAAATATTTAAAGAAAAATTGTGTTAATTTTTCAAGTGATGGTTTGAAATTATATTTGTTTGTTAAAAAAAATACTTAAGTTGTCATTCTCAGTCATTAATCATTTATATATTCAAATTATTTTGATTATACAAAATTGTCTTTCTCTATCGTTGATTATCCCATTCGACTATAAAATCAAACATATAAATGATTTAGATAACCTCTTCAAATCATTTAATTACTTATTTGAATATCTAAAGATTCATTTGAATACAATAATGATTTAGCTAACTTGTTTAAATCAACCTGTTTATTTTGTTAGAATAGTGTTATTTATTCTAATAATTCAAAAATTCTTGACATACTTTTTCAAATAGCCATACTTTGAAAGTCATTCTTCCCTTTATCAAATCTTCTTCCAACTTTTAAACATAATCTTTTTATATGTATGTTTTTTAAATCTTATACTTTTTTAAGTATTTTGCGTGAATTTATCTCGACCCACTGTTGTCAAATATATTTTTTTTTGGGTAATTATCTTTGTACATTATTTAAAGTTTTGCAACTTCAAACATTATTAATTGAATGTGGATCTCATATCGTTTTATTTTAAGTTTTATTCAAAAGTATATCCACTTATTTTTCGATACAGTGTTGTAAAATATTTTTAGTTCGCTTCATTTTTTTCCCACTAACCTTTCAAATTTTTTCATTTTCCGATTATGCTTCTTGAATTATCTATTGTCTTATATCATTTTCACATTTACTTAACCTACAACGGATTCAAGTTTTACTTCAAATATGTTGGAAGAAATCATGCATAATTATGATTCATTAAATTAATCTTTACAATAAGTTATTTAAGTTCTTAAAAAATAAATATGAATTACCAAGTCTTTTTCAAATAATTAAATCACATGAAAAAAATGACAAGTTAAATAAAAATGAATAAAAGAGGAAGTATCTATTGCGTTTTATGGATAAAATGTGAGCACATATGATTTATAAGAGAGTGTGTGGGAAGAGATAGAGAGGTATTCTTATTTTTCTACTATAGTGTTTTTTACATAAGTTTACCCAAAAATGTAAAAAAAAAAACATAATAAATGGTTAATTTATTAAAGATAAATAATTAAAAAAAAAGAAAAAAGATAAAAAGCTAAATGAGTGAATTAACTTTGTCCGAGGGTTGTAAATTTTGAATGAAGAGAGAATTAGTTTGCATAAAAAAACGGTCAAATGATTGATCTCAATCTAAGGCTTATTAACATTTCTTTTATTTGGTTGATTATTCTCATCTCACCGAAGGAACAAAATCAAACCCTTCAGTCCCTGCTCCTTCTCATTGGCTATTTATTTAGTCATTCAGTTATAAGATTTATAATTCACAGCAAAAGACAAAAACTTAGGAGAATGCTTAACGATTGAATCTGTAGGGATTCTGAAACTTGACAATCACAAGCAAAAATAGATTTAGAATTGGATAAAATGAAAGAGCAATAACAATCATTTGCTAAGAAATTTGATTCCTTTAGTAGATGCTTGCAAGGGACGAAGTTGAAGAGAAGAAACTTTTAATTTCAGAAAGGGGTCAGGGAGTGAAAGAAGATAAAGGTGTCGAGAAACTAAAAAGATAGAGAAGATTCATTCAGTTTCACAAAATGAAAAGTGATGTGACATGCAGAGGTGAGTCTAATTTTAACCGCATTGATTTTGGAGATGAGAAATTACAATTTTTTTTAAGAATAAGAATAAAAGTGTACCAAAGTTTGAAAGAGAGACTAAATATAAAATCTTATGATAATTGAGGGATTAAAAACATATTTAACCCTATTTTTTACAACATCAAAATAAGTATATATAAGTATATTTTAGAGGTACAGAGGGTAACTAAAAAAGCTCAACAAAAAATGCAAATCTGTTGTCTCTCTGAATTTGCACTACAATACAAATTGACAACCTCATTAGGATATCATGCGAGTGGAATAATCCAACATTAAAATATCTTATACAAAGGTAGCAGTCGATAAACTCGCGAAAATGAGATAAAAGATAACATAAAACCTCAGCTTTATGTTTAGTACATTCCAAAAATAAACAGAATTGGATGTGATATTAGAAAGTGATAGATTTGCACTCCGCTTTCATCAAAAGTGAAAAAAAATAAACTCCATTATGTTTTGTCTGGCTAGTGCCCTTTCTCTATATTAGTTATTAACAAAATATAATACAAAGAAATTTTAGAGGAAACTATATACTGCTTTGCCTTTTCAACACAAGCACAAACCTATGTTATTCTCTCATTCTTTATGAACTATTGATTCCTTAGTGACTCACTTTCAGATATTAGATCGATTGTCGTAGGTGAACCTGTTGCAGAAGTAGCTGTAGAAATTGAATTAGTGGGTGTGTGCTGTCCTTGAACCTCTTGAGAAGGTTGCATCAGATTTGTATCAGAAGCCTTCTCCTTTGAAGCATTCATGTTAACTTTTATCCTGCATTTGCAATAACTCAATTTAATATGCTTCTTTCAATAAGCTAACAATGATCTATTGTTTGTTACTCACTAAACCAAATACAAAGAACACATAATGTCAGCCAGTAACAAATTGATCAAACTAAACTGGTGTGCATCAGATGAGAAATAAGAGGAATCCGATCGAGAGCTTACTTGTTATGGATATTGACGTATTCATCAGTTTCATCCAATATCTCCTCCTGAAATACACAAAGATTTAATGAAGATGAATCAACCCATACAGCTAAATTNCGTGACTTTTTCTACCAATTGTATTGTTTTTTGAAAAAAAAAAATATTTTATAAAAAAAACATTTTGACATATAATTTACGTTTATTTGATTTTTTTTTACTCTTTTTGTTTTTAAAAAAGCATAATTTTTTTTATAATTATTTTATTATTGAATATAAAAATATGTGATAATTCTATTACTTTATTATCTATACCAAAAATAAATATTTAAAGAAAAATTGTGTTAATTTTTCACGTGATGGTTTGAAATTATATTTGTTTGTTAAAAAAAATACTTAAGTTGTCATTCTCAGTCATTAATCATTTATATATTCAAATTATTTTGATTATACAAAATTGTCTTTCTCTATCGTTGATTATCCCATTCGACTATAAAATCAAACATATAAATGATTTAGATAACCTCTTCAAATCATTTAATTACTTATTTGAATATCTAAAGATTCATTTGAATACAATAATGATTTAGCTAACTTGTTTAAATCAACCTGTTTATTTTGTTAGAATAGTGTTATTTATTCTAATAATTCAAAAATTCTTGACATACTTTTTCAAATAGCCATACTTTGAAAGTCATTCTTCCCTTTATCAAATCTTCTTCCAACTTTTAAACATAATCTTTTTATATGTATGTTTTTTAAATCTTATACTTTTTTAAGTATTTTGCGTGAATTTATCTCGACCCACTGTTGTCAAATATATTTTTTTTTGGGTAATTATCTTTGTACATTATTTAAAGTTTTGCAACTTCAAACATTATTAATTGAATGTGGATCTCATATCGTTTTATTTTAAGTTTTATTCAAAAGTATATCCACTTATTTTTCGATACAGTGTTGTAAAATATTTTTAGTTCGCTTCATTTTTTTCCCACTAACCTTTCAAATTTTTTCATTTTCCGATTATGCTTCTTGAATTATCTATTGTCTTATATCATTTTCACATTTACTTAACCTACAACGGATTCAAGTTTTACTTCAAATATGTTGGAAGAAATCATGCATAATTATGATTCATTAAATTAATCTTTACAATAAGTTATTTAAGTTCTTAAAAAATAAATATGAATTACCAAGTCTTTTCAAATAATTAAATCACATGAAAAAAATGACAAGTTAAATAAAAATGAATAAAAGAGGAAGTATCTATTGCGTTTTATGGATAAAATGTGAGCACATATGATTTATAAGAGAGTGTGTGGGAAGAGATAGAGAGGTATTCTTATTTTTCTACTATAGTGTTTTTTACATAAGTTTACCCAAAAATGTAAAAAAAAAAACATAATAAATGGTTAATTTATTAAAGATAAATAATTAAAAAAAAAGAAAAAAGATAAAAAGCTAAATGAGTGAATTAACTTTGTCCGAGGGTTGTAAATTTTGAATGAAGAGAGAATTAGTTTGCATAAAAAAACGGTCAAATGATTGATCTCAATCTAAGGCTTATTAACATTTCTTTTATTTGGTTGATTATTCTCATCTCACCGAAGGAACAAAATCAAACCCTTCAGTCCCTGCTCCTTCTCATTGGCTATTTATTTAGTCATTCAGTTATAAGATTTATAATTCACAGCAAAAGACAAAAACTTAGGAGAATGCTTAACGATTGAATCTGTAGGGATTCTGAAACTTGACAATCACAAGCAAAAATAGATTTAGAATTGGATAAAATGAAAGAGCAATAACAATCATTTGCTAAGAAATTTGATTCCTTTAGTAGATGCTTGCAAGGGACGAAGTTGAAGAGAAGAAACTTTTAATTTCAGAAAGGGGTCAGGGAGTGAAAGAAGATAAAGGTGTCGAGAAACTAAAAAGATAGAGAAGATTCATTCAGTTTCACAAAATGAAAAGTGATGTGACATGCAGAGGTGAGTCTAATTTTAACCGCATTGATTTTGGAGATGAGAAATTACAATTTTTTTTAAGAATAAGAATAAAAGTGTACCAAAGTTTGAAAGAGAGACTAAATATAAAATCTTATGATAATTGAGGGATTAAAAACATATTTAACCCTATTTTTTACAACATCAAAATAAGTATATATAAGTATATTTTAGAGGTACAGAGGGTAACTAAAAAAGCTCAACAAAAAATGCAAATCTGTTGTCTCTCTGAATTTGCACTACAATACAAATTGACAACCTCATTAGGATATCATGCGAGTGGAATAATCCAACATTAAAATATCTTATACAAAGGTAGCAGTCGATAAACTCGCGAAAATGAGATAAAAGATAACATAAAACCTCAGCTTTATGTTTAGTACATTCCAAAAATAAACAGAATTGGATGTGATATTAGAAAGTGATAGATTTGCACTCCGCTTTCATCAAAAGTGAAAAAAAATAAACTCCATTATGTTTTGTCTGGCTAGTGCCCTTTCTCTATATTAGTTATTAACAAAATATAATACAAAGAAATTTTAGAGGAAACTATATACTGCTTTGCCTTTTCAACACAAGCACAAACCTATGTTATTCTCTCATTCTTTATGAACTATTGATTCCTTAGTGACTCACTTTCAGATATTAGATCGATTGTCGTAGGTGAACCTGTTGCAGAAGTAGCTGTAGAAATTGAATTAGTGGGTGTGTGCTGTCCTTGAACCTCTTGAGAAGGTTGCATCAGATTTGTATCAGAAGCCTTCTCCTTTGAAGCATTCATGTTAACTTTTATCCTGCATTTGCAATAACTCAATTTAATATGCTTCTTTCAATAAGCTAACAATGATCTATTGTTTGTTACTCACTAAACCAAATACAAAGAACACATAATGTCAGCCAGTAACAAATTGATCAAACTAAACTGGTGTGCATCAGATGAGAAATAAGAGGAATCCGATCGAGAGCTTACTTGTTATGGATATTGACGTATTCATCAGTTTCATCCAATATCTCCTCCTGAAATACACAAAGATTTAATGAAGATGAATCAACCCATACAGCTAAATTGAAAGGCAATAGAAGCAAAACTGCAACTTAACAAGAATAGTAAATATGAAGCTCTTAAGGCTCTAGCAACAAAACTGCCCATTCTAGCAGTTTGAAACATCTTCATGTAACAGGGAAATAGTCCAGCAGAATTCAAATCATGTAGTTCCTTCTTCAATAACTATCTAAAAAATAGCACTTAATCATCCATACTGAGTGGAAACAAGGAGGAACCACTGATGGCTAATTGTGCATCGGCAGAAGATAATTAAAGGTGAATATAGGGGTGAAAAAGCTAAAAAGAATATCAAAACAAATATACAGGATTAAATACTTTGGAGCACAAACTGCCAATTCTAAATGCACTAAAGCATCTAACCTGAAGAAGCTCTTCGATGACATCCTCCATTGTAATAACACCAACAACTACTTCATTGGGTGGAAATACTGGCAGGGGCGCATTATCAAGGTCCAGGATGCAATATGAACACCCTCTATGTCGCTTTTTAAAAGCAGGAGTTGCTGGTGGACTTTTCTTTGCTTGTTGAGAACCATCAATCTTAGTAACAGTAGCCAAAGTATCACCTGACTCCAATTTATAACCTAAATATGCAGCCACAGTGAGGTATAAAAAGGTAGTCACTAAGAGTTTCACTTGAGACCGCAAAGGATCATAATACTAAAGAATACAATTGAGAATATATTTAAACATACAGAAAGAAAACCACAAAATTGTGAAGTAAAAAACCATATGGTTCTGAAAATAACCTTCAGAGAAGGAAACACATATCGAACACAAATGACAATTTCTAGGTATAAAAGCTTCCTCAAATAACCAGGAAGGTAACAGGAGGATTAATGACACTTTCAAAGGAACTAAAGTACAGTTTACCATATCCTGCTTTAAGAGTTCAACAAATTGCAAACCACACATAATATTTCGAAAGCACGTACTCACCAAAGAAACTGAAATTTATTCTACATTTATTTAAATCTCTACCTTTATCCAAGGGTGCATTCTCTCCCTTGTTCTTATAGTTGTCCCTGAGGTCATGCTGTTCTCCATCTTTAACCTTTTTTGGGGCCTCGTTTTTACTGTTCAGATCCTTATACACTACTGCAATATGACTATGACCCTTCTGAAATTCGTTCAAAATATCATACAGAGGCATGTTCTCTGAAACACTGCAGGATGAAGAAACAATGACTACCTTGTAATGGCAAGCATCAACCATACACATGCGATCTAGTTAGTATGTAAGGACAATGTATCTCATCTCATGTGTGAAAAAGGATTACCGAGGAATTTTTCTGATGACCATTTTTCTTAGAGGAACTGCAGCCTTTGAATCAACCATAAAGAGATTTTTCACCTGCGCATAAAAGTGAACCGAAGATTAACTAACAAAGAATGAGTGGCATAATCGTGCATATCCGGTGGGCTAAGGCTAATGTTTTTGTTATCGTTAAGCGACATAATAGCGGATGAAAGTGCAGGGTTTGCTCTTTTTTACCATTTCTCCCGCAATCAATCTATTTTATTCCGGAATCATTTGACAGTAAAGTTCTATTATATATCAGTTACACCACAATCTATTACCACGTATAACATAAACAATAATCATAATCAGGTCTGTAGAAGATCTCAGTCAAGCTTTTTCATTCATTTGGTCGTAAAACTGCGTAAAGATCAGATTTACATATTTCTCATGCATTTTACCCGAACAACCATTATAACAGTAAAGGAAAAAAATGAGTATAATAGTATGATATTGTTACCATTTGAGGTAGCCAAAAAGCACCAACTTATAAAACCAAACAAATAAGTGAAACTTGACTCAATAATATTCACCAGAATATCAAGTCATCCAATATGATTACAAGAGTTATAACAAACATTAATTATGGACGTTATCAACTAGCCATCTATAATCCTGTGCATCTATTTACAAAATCTGAAACGGAAGAAAATCAGATAAATTACCAGAACAAGTCCAATAATATTAGTTTTCTCTCCTGCATAAACTGGAACTCTACTATGACCAATTGTCATTATCGAATTCAGT